AGGAGCTGCATAAAGGGATTACATTTCCTTCGCTGTCCACCCAGCGAATGTCAGGCGGAGGGAAACCGGTAGAGCTGCACGTAACTATGTAGTCTGTGCCAGCTGGGACACGAATCACGTTGTCGGGAGCATCGACGTTGAATTCTGGTTGCGATGGCATAATAACTGCAAAACAGACACCGTTAAAGATATTCAAGACGAAAAGCATAGCAAACCCTTCATCAGATGACCTCAATTAACTTCCCCTCAAAAGAGCCTCTGTTTTGATACCTATCCTGAGACTTGGGTGCTTTTAATGCTAACTACTCTAGCTCTACGTTTGAGCATTAGCGGTTGCATCCTCACAAGAGAAGGTCAGTAGGTCAACCTGGCCAATTATGAGTTTAGGCCGTAGTATCTTGAAGCTGAGTTGAGCTCAAAACTGCTCTCCATATCTGGTGAGCGATCTCCTAAATGGAGCTATGAAGTGGAAAAGCGCAACGGTAGTGGTCCGAGTTTACGGGCAGGAGATCTTTATCATCGTAACCTTGGTCACCCCCTTAACCGCAATATAGTGCCCTTACCATCCTGAATCCTTCTTACACATCTCTGCAGGCAAAGTTGATGAATTCAAGGTGTAATCCTGTCTCTATCCGATATGAATAAGATAGTAATGTTGCTGAAGCGAAAGATTTGACCTCGGCGATCTAGTATGGCTCACTCTTGGTGCGGTTGGCGGGGTACGCCCACCGACTATCTAACCACCCGCAAGCTGACTTTTCATCGTTAATTCTGCCTTTAAATCCCCTTATCACATTTTCAGTTTCCGTACCAGGTGTGATATAGTGGATATGTACTTCTTGAAAGGAAAGTAACATCAAGTCTTTTCCATTACTTATATAGTAGAAACGAAACCACAACTGACTTGGAACATTAAGTCTTACCCATTACTTACATAGCAAAGGATATGTAGGTAATAGAAAAGACGGAAACAATCAATAAATTTCCATTTCGCTAATAATATTGCAATATAAAACAGTAAAGAAAAACGAGGTCATCTTCATAACAAAGTGTTCACGGAAAGCAATAACGAAAGGCATACCTCCGTCTCCAGTTGTGAACGTGGTAACGTCACTAGTAGGTCCATCGATTTCTCCTCGAGGAATGATCCGCATGTGGTACTTGGTGTCGGGATTGAAGTTCTCGCCATCAATTGGTACGACCTGAATCAGTCTCAATGGCGGCTCATTCGATATTTTTCTGGAGGATTGACACCTACTGTGTAATTATCAGTATCATCTGGATCAGTGTAGCGAAGTTCTTTCCATTCCGTTTCATCAGTAGGCGGATCTTCAGAAGTATACTGGATGACGAAATCCTGCAATAAACAAAGCTCTGACTCATGATTTCCTAATTTCCCACATTGTCTATAACCCAGGAATGGTGCGCATAGCAACAAGTAAGGAGTAATTATCAGAAAATCACAATAGCGAGGTGTCTTCTCATGGAAAAACCTCCTCGGAACCGAGAGTCGGGAGCGCCATTCAGGTCAGCGTTCTTATGGTTACAGTCTCACCCTCTAATTTACTTGCAAGGAAGGATCAGTTGGTGAGTGTACGACTACCAAAGTTCG